CAGTTAAAGTAAATAAAAAAAACTCGGCTCATAACATGGATGCAGTTATTGCACTGACGGAGCAAGAACAATGTAAGTGTCTAAAACGCATGCACAGCTCAATTAAATGGTAAAGCTCGCCCTCTTTAACAATACAGTTAAACTAAATGTACGAAGCAAACGTTGTACAAAGCTGAAAAAACCTCAAGAACAGTGAAATAAGATTGCATGTTTATCTGTCAATCAAAGGCATGTAGTTCGTTACAATATCAATGGCCTCCCAGCACATTATCGGTAGAACGAAGAAAAAAAAGAGTATTTAATTCATGTTAACCCATGCCCCACTTCATTTTTTTTTTTTACTGCCACTTTTTTATCCATAGGCTGTTGTAAATCTCTCTTTTTTATGGGTTCTCTCACTTAACCTTCTTTGCTTTCAATTTTGAAATGATTCAAATTAAACATTCAAATGATATTTGGATTTACTTTTCAAAATCACAATACATGTCATATGCCAGTCCCACCCCACTTGACTATTTTCCTGTTTTTACTCTCGCTTTTGCAATCATCATCTTTAATCCAACATTGTAGAAATACGTAGGAGAATCTCAGGAGAAACATAAACTCTTTCCACACATAATGTTAACAATCACAGATAAAGAACTGAACAAAACAGGTAGTACCGGTACTTATACTCAAATATAACAATGGTAACTAATAATGACAGTTAAAGGTAATCATTAACATTCAAGAGAAGCCAAGGACACTGACAAGGGTGAGGAGAACGCTAAACAACAGATATGCAGGGAATCAAAACAGAACTCTGACATTTACACACACACACACACACACACACACACACACACACACACACACACACACACACACACACACACACACACACACACACACACACACACACACACACACACACACACACACACACACACACACACACACACACACACACACACACACTCATTTGTATATCTATATAGAGGTTATAATAGTCACCTAATCTTTATGTTGGGATGTTGACAAGAAATATATCAGATGTAAAGATGATAAAAATAAGACATTAATTGAATATCTTGAATATAATCTTAGCTGCAAGGAAAATCAAATCTCTTTTTCTTGAAGAAAGGACAAATTTATCAGGGTCAAGGTCAGGTTTATTTATATAGCACCTTAAAAGCAACATGAGTGCTGAGCAGACCAAAGTGCTGCACAACAGACATTAAGAAATGTAAAAAAATATATATATTGTTTTAAATACAAATATTATAAAAGAAAAAAAGGAGAGTAAAACATAATACAAAACATCAAACCATTTTAAAACATAATTATACTAAAGGTGTAATCAAGTTACGAATAAGCCAGACAATTTTTATATGTTTTAAGAGATTATTTAAATGTTGAAACTGTAGGGGATGACCTAATGAAGATAGGTAAGGTGTTCCAAGACTTTGCTGAGAACTGAGAAAGCGCTATCTCCTTTGGTTTTTAATCAAAATTTTAGAACAGTCACTCAGTAACAGCTGTGAGGAGGATCTGAGCATGATTCTCTGAGAAGAACAGGGATGAAGAAGATCCGAGATGTAAGTAGGAGCAAGAATATAAATAATAAAACCTTAAAATCAACTATATTGAAGAGGTACCCAATGAAGTTATGCTAACACTTTTAGCTTTTTTGTCCCTGTCAGAAAACAAGCTGCAGGGTTCTGTACCAGTTATAGACACAAGAGTGAGTAGTGGCTAATTCCAGCGTAAAGAGCGTTACAGTAATCATCCAGCTTGGTTGAAATTAATTTGTGAATGACACTCTCCAAGTCATTAGAAGTAAGCATTTTTTAAGATTGCGAAGCCCCTGAAGCTGCATAAAGCTGGCTCTGACTACATAATTTCTGTGTTTGTCAAATTTTAATTCAGGATCGAAAATAACTCCTAGGTTTTTAATGTTATCACAAATGTTTCCTTGAAGAGGACCCAGGGTAGGACTTAAATTATTTAAAAGGCGTGGAGGGCCAAACAAGATAACTTCAGTCTTTCTGGTTTAGCTGGAGGAAATTTTCGTCCACCCAACCTTTAATGTCCTTTAAACATGCTAACAAGGAGGACACTGAATCGGGACCTGATTATGGAGGAATTTACTACTCTTAAAAGAGCAGACTCAGAGCAGAGCAGAATCCAGATGAAAGACTTGCAATAACAGGCCATACATACAGCCCACAGAAACCAAACCTGAGAGAAATTCAGTGGCGAAAACTGAAGCAAACACAACACCAAAAACCCAATGGCGAGATGTGCAGCAGTAGTCCTCAAATACGGCCCGAACTCTAACGGCACGGCAGGGGAGCACTGAGGCCTAACCCGGGAAGCATAGCGAGGCAGTGAGTGTAGTGTTACTCGTACCTGGTTCTGTGGTTCCTAGCGAGGGACTGGCTAGGGAGGCGTGAGGAAGTAGCACATCCTTGAAATGTGGGGGGTGGGGGGTGGGGGGTGGGGGGGGGGGGCCTGGGCTGGGCGTGATGAAGCAGAGTGTCGTTCACTGGCAAACCATGCCCGGTATGGCCCAGAGGCTGAGGAAACTGCTCTTTTATTGAAAAAGTGGGTACTGCTGACCGTGGGGCCAGCGGCGGAACAGAAATGGGGGAAGGAGTGGTGCGATCACCACCTCTTGGTTCAGAGCAGCTCCCTCCATCTCTGGGCTGCCCATATCAGGGCTGCCCATATCAGGGCTGCTTAGATGGACGATCAGAGGGTTTAGCGGTGACCTGAGGGACTGGCTGCTTTGCCTGCGTTGAGGGCTCGACTGAGTGGCAGGGTAGATGTCTCCAGTCACACCGTGCAGGTGTAGAAGCCACAGGATGTGCTTAATGACCTCATTCTGCTTTTGGACTGCTGAGAACTGCTGGGCAAAGTCCTTGACAGTGTCGCTGAAGAGGCCACCTTGCAAGATGGGGTGTCGAGAAAGCGTGACTTTGTTGACATCCTGCATTTCTGCAAGGTTCAGCCAGAGATAGCGTTCCTGGACCACCAAGGTAGACATCGTCTGGCCGAGAGTCCGCACTGTGACTTTCGTCGCCCGGAGGGAAACTACCCTCATGCAGTACTTTGAGTGCTGTGGCCTGATAGACTTGCAGGATGGCCACCGCATGCAGGGCAGAGGCGGCCTGTCCAGCGGCACTGTAAGCCTTAGCATCCAGGGCTGCCATCATCTTACAGGCCTTGGACTGAAGACACGGATGGTTCCACCAGGTGGCGACACTTTGTGGCCACAAGTGCACCACAATTACACGCAACACCTGGGAATTCTCCATGTAACTCTTGGTGGTCCCACCAGCAAGGGTAGTGAGAATGGAGTAGCTTCGGGCAGTAAAATGTGCCTTCCACAACTTCTGCACCTCCTCATCCACTTCCGGGAAGAAAGGCACTGGGGCAGAACGTGGCTGTGAACTGCTCGCCACACCCAGGAACCAATCATTCAACCACGAGTGCTCAGGACAAGATGGAGGGTTCCACTCGAGTCGAATGCATGCGGCGTCCCAGGCAAGCATGGCCGTCAACTCTGAATCCAATTCAGAGTGAGCGACCACCCCAAAATGGGGAAGCTCAGCTTCATCTTCCTCTCCTGAGGACAATAGCCCACTCGGAGCACCGAATGACACGCTGGGTCCCCCAAAAGAAGGACCCGCGCCATTATCCGGCAGCTCGGCGGCACATGGCATGCTAGAGGAACTGTAACCCTCAAGTCTCCCAAAATGTTAACTATATACAGCCTACCACATATATACAGTATAACCAGAGTCATGACCACAATTCCGACATGGTCATCCATCCATCACAACTCAGAGGTGATTGGGGCTCCCGAATGAGACCCCATTTGCTAGTCTTCGAGGTAATGTTGAGCGCGACTGACAGACGGAACTTATAGTATGTAAAGCAGACCTTTGTTCTTAAAACGTTAAAATTGTGTGAGGAAGTAGAAACTTTAGCATGAGCTTGAATCAATTATTGAATTGATCAATAAATGAAACAGAAGTAACATTGACCTTTGTTCTAAAATCATTACCTGTGTGTGAGGAAACAGAAACTCAAGCAAGGCTTTCAATCATTGAATTGATCAATAAATGAAACAGAAATAACTTGTATTTTGGTAATATTTACTGAAAACATGCTATGTTTAATTTCTCCCCATTTTTTTCTTAACTCTAATTATCCCTTTTCAGAACATTCTATTTTTATTTTTCAGTCTCTCTCTTTCTCTCTGTATGTATATATCTATTGCTGTTACTTTAAATTATATTTATCTAGAGAAATTGAACATGTAATTCATTTGGATTTATTTGGGAATTAAAGAAAGAAACAACCCTAACAATTATACTGTAGGTGCTTTGAAGGTTATTTTCAAAATCGTTTTAACATCCTCTTAGCATTTTGTGGAAATTGTGCTAGTTTCAATTGATGCATTTTATATTAAAATATTGTATCCGCTAAACTTTGAAGGGCATAATGGAGAAATTGAAACAAAACACACAGTAGTTTACTGCCACAAAGAAGCCACAAACGGCAAGTTAAAACTGATTAGAGCCCAGTTACACAATTCACAAAATGCATATACTATAAGAAGCTGACCTATTTGTAGTTTTTGAATATCTTAAAAAAATGTTTTGCCTAAAAGCCCAATTCAAACACGCATTTGCCTTTATAATTTATTATTTTATGTAACAAGAATGTGTTGTGTAAAAGCTGTGTTCCTTAAGTCAGCCATCATATCCAAAACATGAAAGTTTTTCACAGCGTTATGATGGGCTAGTCAGGAAATATTCACCAGTTTGTGTAATATCAGTGTATTATAAAATGACGTTGGGAAATATGTAGCAATGTGAAATGGTTTGAGGAAAATAAGTCTTGATTTTTTTATCAGTGTTTTATGATCTGTACAATCCCTCTCTGGACTTTGATACATAATTAAAGCTTTCAGAATGTGTGACATATAATATCTAAACCATGTACTTAGGTCTGTAAATCACATTGAGTTGGAGATTTGAAGGTGCACAAGCTGAGATGTGTTAGAGGCTACACCTGTTAAAGACTGAGGTTCCAGTGTATTATTTTTCATGTGTTTGGATACCGGCATCATTTGGGGAAATGATTGGGATAAGCTACACATCTTCATTCATTTTGATCCTGAGTCTGTCTCTCATTTCAGGTAGGGAGAAAAATATACATCAAATTCTTAATCTTATATTTAATCTTATAATTTAATTGTATATAGGCCTACGTATTATAAAAGCTGCAACTAAAAAGTATGTTTTGATAATATGATTTCAATTATTGATAATTTGATATATTGATAATATAATAATAATTTACTCTAATTTCAATGGGGAAAAAACATGTCAATGCTGTCACGTTTATACGGTAGTATGTGTTTTCACTGTGTTTCCTGTGCTCGTTATATAACTATACGCTAACTATACTCCCCGGTCTTCGGACCTTCTAGGGGGGTTTGGAGGCATGCCCCCCTGTAAGAACATTTTGTGCATTTTAATGTTAAATTCATCAATCTGGTGCACTTTGAGAGTTCAAAATTAAAAGCTCCAACCCATATTCAATGTGAAAATTAAACAAAGGAAAATTCAAACCTCTTTTAGTTGTGTCTGTCTACATTACACTTCTACATAACAATAGTTATAATATTAATTCCATGACCATGACAGTAATAGCCATATATTGTAAAACAAATGCACTGAAAAATAAAGGACGACGGTCATTAAAGCGGTAATGTTTGCACATAGGTTTTATTACGCATTTAGGAGAGTATTGCAAGAAGCTACTTACATTAACCTTACTTTCGAAAAATAAATAAATACAATCATGATTTTTCATGAAAAAGTATGTTAGAATTGTAGGCCTAAAATACCTTGGTATCAGCTGGTTTTCATCAATCGTATTAATACAATTACAATTCATTTGGTTTGTCGTGATTAATTTGTGTTCATAATCAGTAAAAAAAAAAAAAAAAAACTTCTAACAAGCATGAACACATATGATTAATTAAATTAAATTAAATTAAATTAAATTAAATTAAATTAAATTAAATTATTATTGTATTATTAAAGGTGGGGTATGTGATTTTCTTTTTTTTTAACCTTTTTTCAAAATCACTTGAAATCCTATTCCTAACCCACTTACAGCCACTGAGTTAGAAGCACTGAATTGAAAATTAAGCAATTTAATCATCTCTGGAACGGGCAGGAATCGAAAAACTCCAGCTAATCATTTCCAAGACCACCCAGAATCATTGGACAGAAAATGAGTCAATCAAACGGTCGTACCATACCCCCCTCCCCCCCGCGTGCGTGTCCCCTTCGTGCGCATACTCAAAGCGTGTGACCCAGTCACAGTAAAGCCCCTTTCACACAGCGCGTTGATCCCGGGAAATTGCCAGAACGCCTTCTGTGTGAACGCAAACACGACCCGGGATTGATGCCGGGATCGATGCCGGGTTGGGGACCTAGTAACATTGCCGTGTTTCCCGGAACGCGTGCTGTGTGAACAAAAGCCGTAATCAATGCCGTCTCGTAATGATGACGCTAAAGTGTAGTGAAAGCAGGCTAGTGAAACGGTACGTAATGCGCTAGTTTATGATCGAATCAGAGAAAAAATGCACAAGCGTGGTTTCTCGAGAGAGAAAACGCAGCTCATAAGCAAACTTAAGACGCTGCTGAGACATTACATGTCACATCGATGTCACGTGTCTTTACGGGATTTTTACGGGTTGTGTGTGAACGCACTCTCTGATTCCGGAAAATTACTGGCAGTGTGAATGATCCAAAATCAAACGAACCCGGGTCAATTCCTGGATCACTTTATCCGTGTATTTTCCGTAATCTCTGTGTGAAAGGGGCTTAAGTGCAAGTCGCCCCGGTACAGAGAGAGAGAGAGTAAGTGCAATCTCGCGCATCTGAGTTTTGCAGATGCATGATTGCGCGTCCATGTTCTTCGAATGGGTGGAGTCAGGGCCAGCGTTGGAGGAAAGAAGGTAGGACCTTTTGAGTTGTGTATTTTTAAAATCTACCGGCCGGTTTGCAAATCCCATACCCAACCTTTAATTATTTTTAACTATCTTGAAACTATCCAAGCAGCGTTTCGCGCTCAGATGTCATGGCGGAATTGATACATTACCAAAATGTGATTACAGAATATATTTAAATTATCCATCAAATTGTCAATTTCTCCTTACTGTCAATTACTTGGTGAACACAGAAAACATTTTGGCATTAGGCATTGGCAATGATAATGCCTAAAAATGTTTAAAAAAAGTTTTACCTTATGAATAGAATTTAGTTTAATTAATTTTAAAATTCGTTGCCGAAGTGAATGGGAACATGATTTATTGAAAATATTTAAGTTTTTCTTAGGTCAATACTTTTTAATGGCTTGTCAACTTTCCATTCCTCCGCTGCGTGATTCTAGTCAGCGCTGGATTCTAGTCGTCAAAATACAACTCGTCAAAACTCTGCGAATAACAAGCGTATCTTGCAAGAACACTCATTTAAACAGCATGCACACACAAAAACTTGACTGCACATCATATTTTTGACATTATTGATACCGCTTTCAATTGTAATGTAATAAAAATGAACACAAAAAAACGGCCTAGTGCCTACCTACAACACTGATGGTGGACTTGCGGTCAGGAATAGAGCGGACGAATGTTTTTTTGTTTTGAGAGGCTGCTGACGATTTTTTCTACCCGCACCTTAGACGTGCACACACAATATGACCTCACACTCTGCGCATGTGTTCCCTTTCGAGGGAACTCGCGATGCGTCGATGACGCTTTGGGAACGCTTCCAGCGTGAATGCGTCTGAAGCATCTATGTCAAATAGTCCAATGGAAGGAATGACGTCATGACCAGGAAGAAATAAGAGCACATCCGGTGCAACCGGCATTAGCTTCTGTTGCCTCAGCAAGTGATCTGTGTCAAACTGTCTGTTATATTTACTGTTGTCTGTCTGGATATATATCTAAAACACTATGGCGAAACAATTGCACAGACTCTGTGTTCTCTCCTGCTCGCGTTATTTAACGAGTGGGGACACGCACAAGCTTTGTGTGATGTGTTTGGGAGTGGAGCATGCGGTATAAACCTTCGAGGTGGCTATTGCCGACATTGTGAGCAGCTTTCACTTCGCATGCTCCCCTCCCGCCTGTCACTTTTCGAGGAAAGTGGGCAGGCTCGCGGTTCTCAGGGTGCAGGACCTGCTTCAAAGCAGAAGCCGGATCCGAGGACTGTTCTTCACGCTGAGAAGGCTTCGGCTCAAAAGAAAAGGTCTTGGCGCCACCGGCGTCAGACCAGTGAGGGCAGCCCCAACCGGGGTGGAACAGTGTACACCTCATTATACGGTGCCCGTTCCATCTCGGTGCCCTCAGGGGACGTTCTGCCAACCCCGCCACCCTAGGTGCTTCGGGGCGCAGCGGTCTCCAGCGAGCTTCTGGCGCAGCGTCACCTCGACATTGCGTCAGACTTGCGCCCTCTGAGGGGGGTTCGAAAACAGTCAGTTCGGGTGGTTCCTGCCAGTATGCTTCAGGTCCCGAACTGGCTGTCTTTATTACACCAGAGGCCAGCCTTGAGGGGCTGGTTCCCTTGGTAGATTTTCTGGCAGCACGGAAGCTACTGCCAAATATATCTCTATGGGTCCTGCAGTTAGTAGTAAGAGGCAGATATGGTTCTCGTCCTCCAGGCTACAATGGGGTGTTGCTCACGTTAGTGCATCCTGAGCAGGCTCTGGTAATGGAGCAAGAGGTAAAGGCCCTGTTAGCAAAGAAAGCTATAGAGCAGGTGTACTCACCCGACATTGCGTCAGGTCTTTACAGTCGTTATCTCATTGTTCCAAAAAAGTCTAGCTCTATCACCCCACACAAAACGCGTAGATGCAGCTCTGGCCCTGTAGTGCATACGCATTCTGAATTGCATAGACGACTGGCTGATTTTAGCGGAATCAGAACAGTTAGCAGTTCGGCATCGATATGTCGTCCTCGCTTATATGCGAAGGTTGGGGTTGAAGCTCAATGCCAAGAAGAGTGTGCTTTCTCCAGTACAGAGGACCACTTTTCTTGGAGTGGTCTGGGACTCAGTCATGATGCGAGCCGTTCTGTCGCCCGCTCGTGTAGCTGTTATCTTACTGCCACATAAGAGCTAAAGCTAGGCCAGTCACACACTGTGAAACAGTTCGAGAGACTGTTAGGCCTCAGGGCAGCAGCGTCCATTGTGATACCCTTTGGCCTGCTGTACGTGAGACCTTTGCAGTGGTGGCTCAGGACCAGAGGGTTCTCCCCGAGGGGAAACCCACTCTGTATGATCAAGGTCACGTGGCAGTATCCCCGCGCCTTGGTTATATGGAGGAAACACTGGTTCTTGTCCCAGGTTTCAGTGTTGGGAGCTCTTTGCCATCAAGTTTCTATCTCGACAGATGCTTCCCTCACCAGCTGGGGAGTGGTATTGGAAGGCTGCTCAGCTCAGGGCTTGTGGAGGAGTCGTCATCTCTTTTGGCACAGGAATGCTTTGAGACATCTCCTCCCAGACCTGAGGGGCCATCATGTGAACAGTGGTCGCTCAGGACCAGAGGGTTCTCCCTGAGGGGAAACCCACTCCATACGATCAAGATCACGTGGCAGTATCCCCGCGCCTTGGTTATTTGGAGGAAACTCTGGTTCTTGTCCCACAGACAACACGTTGGCGGCCTCTTATTTTGGTCCAGCCCCTTGGGGCTGGATGCTATGGTGCAGACGTGGTCGAGGCTACGTCTGTACGCATTCCCCCCTGTTGCTCTGCTCCCAGGAGTTCTGGAGTGAATCCGCCAGGATGGAATAAGCCTACTGCTAAGTAGCACCACCCTGGCCGAGCCGAATTTGGTTTGCGGACCTAATTCTTCTCGTCGACGGCCCTCCTTTGGAGATCCCGAATAGGAGAGACCTTCCGTCTCAGGCAGGGGATGCAATATTGCACCCCCGGCAGGGGATTTGGAAACTGTGGGTTTGGCCTCTGAGGGGGCCCAACACATAGAGAGTGGTCTCTCAACCGAGGTTGTTGAGACCATTCTAAGCTCCAGAGCTCCCGCTACGAGGAAACTATATTCACTATATGGAGAGTTTTTCACTCCTTGGTGTTACCAGCGTCAGTGGGATCCGGTTAACTGTTC